TGAATTTGGGGATTTTGGGGTCCCAATTTGGAGATTTTGTGGGTCCCAATTTGGGGATTTTGGGGTCACATTTTGGGGATTTTGGGGTCTGAATTTGGGGGTTTTGGGGTCACATTTAGGGGGTTTTGGGATCTGAATTTTGGGGTTTTGGGGTCCCATTCTTGTGGGGTTTGGGGTCACATTTAGGGGAGTTTTGGGATCCTGAATTTGGGGGGTTTGGGGTCTTTATTGGGGGATTCCGTGCGCCACAACCTCTCCTGCAACCCCTGCTTCGCCAAGGTTTGGGGGGTTTTGGGGTTTTTTGGGGTTTTTTGGGGTTTTTTGGGGGGTTTTGGGGTTTTTGGGGGGTTTGGGGGGGGGGTTTGGGGTTTTTTTGGGGGGGTTTGGGGTGGGATTTGGAGTGGATTTGGGGTTGTAATTGGGGGTTTTGGGGTCTGAATTTGGGGTTTTGAGGTCCCAATTTGGGGAGTTTGGGGTCAGAATTTCGGGGTTTTGGGGTCACATTTAGGGGATTTTGGGGTTCTGAATTTGGGGGTTTTGGGGTCACATTTAGGGGATTTTGGGGTCTCAATTTGGGGATTTTGGGGTCACATTTAGGGGATTATTTGTGTCCTGATTTTGGGGATTTGGGGTCTCAATCTGGGGATTTTTGGGGCTGCGATTTGGGGGTTTTGGGATCTGAATTTGGGGATTTTGGGGTCACATTTTAGGGGATTTTGGGGTCTCAGTTCGGGGGTTTTGGGGGTCACATTTAGGGGTTTTTTTGGGGTCCTAATTTAGGGGGTTTGGAGTCCCAATTTGGGGATTTTGGGGCTCGGAATTTGGGGGTTTTGGGGGTCACCTTTAGGGGATTTTGGGGTCTCAATTTGGGGATTTTGAGGTCACATTTAGGGGATTTTGGGGTCACATTTAGGGGATTTTTAGGGTCCTGATTTAGGGGATTTGGGGCTCTGAATTTGGGGATTTTGGGGTCCAGATTTGGGGGTTTTGGGATCTGAATTTGGGGGTTTGAGGTCCCATTTAGGGGATTCTGGGGTCTGAATTTCGGGGTTTTGGGGTCCCATTCTTGTGGGGTTTGGGGGTCACATTTAGGGGAGTTTTGGGATCCTGAATTTGGGGGGTTTGGGGTCTTTATTGGGGGATTCCGTGCGCCACAACCTCTCCTCCAACCCCTGCTTCGCCAAGGTTTGGGGATTTTGGGGTTTTTGGGGTTTTTTGGGGTTTTTTGGGGGGTTTGGGGTTTTTTGGGGGGTTTGGGCGGTTTTGGGGGGATTTTTGGGGGTTTTTTTGGGGGGTTTGGGGTGGGTTTGGGATGGATTTGGGGATTTGGGGTCCTGATTTGGGAATTTTGGGGTCCCATTCCTGGGGGGGTTTGGGGTCCCATTTAGGGGATTTTGGGGTCTGGATTTTGGGGTCCCAATTTGGGGTTTTGAGGTCTGAATTTGGGGGTTTTGGGCTTCACATTTAGGGGATTTTGGGGTCCTGATCCTGGGAGATTTTGGGATCTGAATTTGGGGGTTTTGTGGTCCCAGTTTGGGGATTTTGGGGTCTCAATTTGGGGATTTTGGGGTCCTGAATTTGGGGGTTTTGGGGTCACATTTTAGGGATTATTTGGGTCCTGATTTGGGGGATTTTGGGGCTCAGAATTTGTGGGGGTTTGGGGTCCCATTCCTGGGGGGTTTGGGGTCTCATTTAGGGGAATTTGGGGCTCGGAATTTGGGGTTTTGAGGTCCATTTAGGGGATTTTGGGGTTCTGAATTTTGGGGTTTTGGGGGTCCCATTCCTGTGGGGTTTGGGGTCACATTTAGAGGAGTTTTGGGATCCTGAATTTGGGGGGTTTGGGGTCTTTATTGGGGGATTCCGTGCGCCACAACCTCTCCTCCAACCCCTGCTTCCCCAAGGTTTGGGGTTTTGGGGGTTTTTTTGGGGTTTTTTGGGTTTTTGGGGTTTTTTGGGGGGTTTTGGGGGGGTTTTGGGGGGGTTTTGGGGGGTTTGGGGTGGGATTTGGGGTGGATTTGGGGTTGTAATTGGGGGTTGGGGTCATAGTTTGGGGGATTTTGGGGGGTGAATTTGGGGTTTTTAGGTCCCATTTAGGGGATTTTGGGGTCCGGATTTTGGGGTCCCAATCTGGGGATTTTGGGGTCACATTGAGGGGATTTTTATGGTCCTGGTTTGGGGGTTTTGGGGTCACATTCAGGGGATTTTGGGGTCTGGATTTTGGGGTCCCAATCTGGGGATTTTGGGGTCACATTGAGGGGATTTTTTGGGTCCAGATTTGGAGATTTTGGGGTCCTGATTTGGGGGATTTTGGGGGTCCCATTTTGGGGGTTTTGGGGTCACATTCCTGTGGGGTTTTGGGGTCACATTTAGGGGATTTTTGGGGTCCTGATCCTGGGAGGTTTTGGGGTCCTGAATTTGGGAGATTTTGGGGTTCTGAATTTGGGGGTTTTGGGATCTGAATTTGGGGGTTTTGGGGTCTGAATTTCGGGGTTTTGGGGGTCACATTTAGGGGATTTTGGGTCCCATTCCTGTGGGGTTTGGGGTCTCATTTAGGGGATTTTGGGGTCGGGATTTTGGGGGTCCCATTTAGGGGATTTTGGGGTTCTGAATTTGGGGGTTTTGGGGTCCCAGTTTGGGATTTTGGGGTCCCAATTTGGGGGTTTTGGGGCTCGGAATTTGGGGGTTTGGGGGTCACATTTAGGGGATTTTTGGGGTTCCAATTTAGGGATTTTGAGGTCCTGATTTGGAGATTTTGGGGTCCTGATTTAGGGGATTTGGGGTCACATTTAGGGATTTTGGGGTCTGAATTTAGGGATTTTTAGGGTCCCAATCTGGGGATTTTTGGGGCTGCAATTTGGGGATTTTGGGGTCTGAATTTTGAGGGTTTTGGGGTCACATTTAGGGGATTATTTGGGTCCGGATTTTGGGGTCTCAATTTGGGGGGTTTGGGGTCACATTTAGGGGATTTTTAGGGTCCTGATTTTGGGGTCACATTTACATTTTTGGGGTTTTTTGGGGCTTTGGGGTGGGATTTGGGGTGGATTTGGGGGTTGGGGTCACAGTTTTTGGGGGATTGTGGGATTGAGGGGATTTTTGGGGGTCTCAATTTGGGGGTTTTGGGGTCCTGAATTTGGGGTTTTGGGGGTCCCATTTAGGTGATTTTGGGGTTCTGAATTTTGGGGTTTTGGGGTCACATTTTGGGGATTTTGGGGTTCTGAATTTGGGGGTTTTGGGGGTCCCATTTAGGGGATTTTGGGGTCTGAATTTTGGGGGTTCTGGGGTCCCATCCTTGTGGGGTTTGGGGTCACATTTAGAGGAGTTTTGGGATCCTGAATTTGGGGGGTTTGGGGTCTTTATTGGGGGATTCCGTGCGCCACAACCTCTCCTCCAACCCCTGCTTCGCCAAGGTTTGGGGGTTTTGGGGTTTTTTGGGGTTTTTTGGGGTTTTTGGGGGGGGTTTGGGGTTTTTGGGGGGTTTCGGGGGGGTTTGGGGGGTTTTTGGGGGGTTTTGGGGTAGGATTTGGGGTGGATTTGGGGTTTTTTGGGGGGTTTGGGATCTGAATTTGGGTGTTTTGAGGTCCCAATTTGGGGTTTTTGGGGTCCCAATTTGGGGATTTTGGGGGTCCCAATTTGGGATTTTTGGGGCTGGGGTTTGGGGATTTTGGGGCTCTGAATTTGGGGTTTTGGGTTTTTGATTTGAGGGATTTTAGGGTCACATTGAGGGGATTTTTGGGGTTGGGATTTGGGGTCACATTTAGGGGATTTTGGGGTCTGAATTTGGGGGTTTTGGGGTTCACATTTAGGGGTTTTGAGGTCCCAATTTGGAGATTTTGGGGTCCCATTTAGGGGATGTTGGGGTTCTGATTTTGGGGTCCTGATCCTGGGAGATTTTGGGGTTCTGAATTTGGGGGTTTTGGGGTCCCAGTTTGGGGTTTTGGGGTCCCAGTTTTGGGGTTTTGGGGTCCCAATTTGGGGAGTTTGGGGTCCTGAATTTGGGGGTTTGGGGGTCACATTCAGGGGAGTTTTGGGGTTCCATTTTGGGGATTTTGGGGCTCAGAATTTGGGGTTTTGGGGTCTCAATTTGGGGATTTTGGGGTCTGAATTTGGGGGTTTTGGGGTTCACATTTAGGGGATTATTTGGGTCCTGGTTTGGGGATTTTGGGGTCTGAATTTGGGGGTTTTGGGGTTCACATTTAGGGGATTTTTTGGGTGCTGGTTTGGGGATTTTGGGGTCCTGATCTTGGGAGATTTTGAGGTCCCAATTTGGGGTTTTTTTGGGGTCACATTTAGGGGATTTTGGGGTGTGAATTTTGGGGGTTTGGGGTCCCATTTTCGGGGTTTTGGGGTCACATTTAGGGGATTTTGGGGTCCAGATCCTGGGAGATTTTGGGGTCCCAATTTGGGGGTTTGGGGTCCCATTTAGGGGATTTTGGGGCTCAGAATTTGGGGGTTTTGGGTTTTGATTTTGGGATTTTGGGGGTCCCAATATGGGGATTTCTGTGGTCTCAGTTTAGGGGTTTTGGGGGTCCAATTTGGGGGTTTTGGGGTCACATTTAGGGGATTTTTAGGGTCCTGATTTAGGGGATTTGGGGTCTGAATTTGGGGGTTTTGGGGGTCCCAATTTGGAGATTTTGGGGGTCCGAATTTGGGGGTTTTGGGGTCTGAATTTGGGGGATTTAGGGTCCTGAATATGGGGATTTTGGGGTCACATATAGGGGATTTTTTTGGGGTCCTGATTTTGGGGGTTTGGGGTCACATTTAGGGGATTTTGGGGTTCTGAATTTGGGAGATTTTGGGGTCACAATTTGGGGGTTTGGGGTCACATTTAGGGGATTTTTATGGTCCTGGTTTGGGGGTTTTGGGGTCCCAATTTGGGGATTTTGGGGCTCGGAATTTGGGGTTTTGGGGCTGCGGTTTGGGGGTTTTGGGGCTCTGAATTTCGGGGTTTTGAGGTCCCAATTTGGGGATTTTGGGGTCTGAATTTGGGGGTTTTGGGGTCACATTTAGGGGATTATTTGGGGTCACATTTAGGGGATTTTGGGGTCACATTTAGGGGATTTTTAGGGTCCTGATTTAGGGGATTTGGGGCTCTGAATTTGGGGATTTTGGGGTCCCAATTTGGAGATTTTGGGGTCCCCATTTTTGGGTTTTGGGGTCTGAATTTGGGGGATTTAGGGTCCTGAATATGGGGATTTTGGGGTCACATATAGGGGATTTTTTGGGGTTCCCATTTAGGGATTTTGGGGTCCTGATTTAGGGGATTTGGAGTCCCAATTTGGGGATTTTGGGGGTCTGAATTTGGGGATTTTGGGGTCACCTTTAGGGGATTTTTTTGGGTCCAGATTTGGGGGTTTTGGGATCTGAATTTGGGGGTTTTGGGGTCCCATTTAGGGGATTTTGGGGTTCTGAATTTTGGGGTTTTGGGGGTCCCATTCTTGTGGGGTTTGGGGTCACATTTAGGGGAGTTTTGGGATCCTGAATTTGGGGGGTTTGGGGTCTTTATTGGGGGATTCCGTGCGCCACAACCTCTCCTCCAACCCCTGCTTCGCCAAGGTTTGGGGATTTTGGGGTTTTTTGGGGGTTTTTGGGGGTTTTTTGGGGTTTTGGGGGGTTTTGGGGGGGTTTGGGGGGTTTTTTGGGGTTTTGGGGGGGGGTTTGGGGTGGGATTTGGGGTGGATTTGGGGTTGTAATTGGGGGTTGGGGTCATAGTTTGGGGGATTTTGGGGTCTGAATTTGGAGATTTTGGGGTCCCAATTTGGGATTTTTGGGGCTGCGGTTTGGGGATTTTGGGGCTCTGAATTTGGGGTTTTGGGTTTTTGATTTGAGGGATTTTAGGGTCACATTGAGGGGATTTTTGGAGTTCTGATTTGGGGGGTTTGGGGTCACATTTAGGGGATTTTGGGATCTTAATTTAGGGGTTTTGGGGTCCTGATCCTGGGAGGTTTTGGGGTCCTGATTTAGGGGATTTGGGGTCTCAATTTGGGGATTTTGGGGTCCTGATTTGGGAGTTTTGGGAACTGAATTTGGGGGTTTTGGGGGTCACATTCAGGGGATTTTTGGGGTTCCAATTTAGGGATTTTGGGATCCTGATTTGGGGATTTTGGGGCTCAGAATTTGTGGGGGTTTGGGGTCCCATTCCTGGGGGGTTTGAGGTCACATTTTGGGGGTTTTGGGTCTCAATTTGGGGATTTTGGGGTCTGAATTTGGGGATTTTGGGGTCTCAATTTGGGGGTTTTGGGGTTCACATTGAGGGGATTTTGGGGTCTCAATTTGGGGATTTTGAGGTCACATTTAGGGGATTTTTAGGGTCCTGATTTAGGGGATTTGTGGCTCTGAATTTGGGGATTTTGGGGTCTGAATTTGGGGGTTTTGGGATCCTGAATTTGGGGGGTTTGAGGTCTTTATTGGGGGATTCCGTGCGCCACAACCTCTCCTGCAACCCCTGCTTCGCCAAGGTTTGGGGATTTTTGGGGTTTTTGGGGTTTTTTGGGGGGTTTTGGGGTTTTTGGGGTTTGTTTGGGGGTTTTTGGTGTTTTTGAGGGGGGTTTGGGATGGATTTGGGGATTTGGGGTCCTGATTTGGGAATTTTGGGGTCCCATTCCTGGGGGGTTTGGGGTCCCATTTAGGGGATTTTGGGGTCTGGATTTTGGGGTCACAATTTGGGGATTTTGGGGGGTGAATTTGGAGATTTTGAGGTCCCAATTTGGGGTTTTGAGGTCACATTTAGGGGATTTTGGGGGTCCCAATTTGGGGGTTTTGGGGCTCGGAATTTGGGGGTTTGGGGGTCACATTTAGGGGATTTTTGGGGGTTCCAATTTAGGGATTTTGGGGTTCTGATTTGGGGGTTTTGAGGTCCCAATTTGGGGATTTTGGGGTCTGAATTTGGGGGTTTTGGGGTTCACAGTTAGGGGATTTTGGGGTCACATTTAGGGGATTTTGGGGCTGCGGTTTGGGGGTTTTGGGGTCTGAATTTTGAGGGTTTTGGGGTCACATTGAGGGGATTTTTAGGGTCCTGATTTGGGGGTTTTGAGGTCCCAATTTGGGGATTTTGGGGTCTGAATTTCGGGGGTTTTGGGGGGTTTTGGGGTTTTTGGGGGGGTTTGGGGGTTTTTGGGGGGTTTTGGCTGGGATTTGGGGTGGATTTGGGGTTGTAATTGGGGGTTTGGGGTCACAGTTTGGGGCATTTTGGGGGGTGAATTTGGGGGTTTTGAGGTCACATTTAGGGGATTTTGGGGTCACAGTTAGGGGATTTTTAGGGTTCTGATTTAGGGGATTTTGGGTTCTGAATTTTGGGGTTTTGGGGTCCCATTTAGGGGATTTTGGGTTCTGAATTTGGGGATTTTGGGGGTCCCATTTAGGAGATTTTTAGGGTCTCAATTTGGGGGTTTTGGGGTCCCATTTAGGGGATTTTGGGGTTCTGAATTTGGGGTTTTGGGGGTCCCAATTTCGGGATTTTGGGGTCACATTTTAGGGATTATTTGGGCCCGGATTTGGGGATTTTGGGGTCTGAATTTGGGGGGTTTTGGGGGTTTTGGGGTTTTTGGGGGTTTTTTGGGGGGGTTTGGGGTGGGATTTGGGGTTGTAATTGGGGTTTGGGGTCATGGTTTGGGGGATTTTGGGGTCCCAATTTGGGGATTTTGGGGTCTGAATTTGGGGGTTTTGGGGTCCCATTTAGGGGATTTTGGGGTTCTGAATTTTGGGGTTTTGGGGTCCCATTCCTGTGGGGTTTGGGGTCACATTTAGAGGAGTTTTGGGATCCTGAATTTGGGGGGTTTGGGGTCTTTATTGGGGGATTCCGTGCGCCACAACCTCTCCTCCAACCCCTGCTTCGCCAAGGTTTGGGGTTTTTGGGGTTTTTTGGGGTTTTTTTGGGGTTTTTGGAGGTTTTGGGGGGTTTGGGGGGGTTTGGGGTGGGATTTGGGGTGGATTTGGGGGTTGGGGTCACAGTTTGGGGGATTTTGGGGTCACATTTAGGGGATTTTGGGGTTCCAATTTAGGGATTTTGGGGTCCTGATTTTGGGGTTTTGAGGTCACATTTAGGGGATTTTGGGGTCCTGATCCTGGGAGGTTTTGGGGTTCTGAATTTGGGGGTTTTGGGGTCTCATTTTTGGGGATTTTGGGGTCACATTTAGGGGATTTTGGGGCTGCGATTTGGGGGTTTTGGGGTCCCATTTAGGGGATTTTCGGTTTCTTCTGGGTTTTTTTGGGTTTTTTTAGGGTTTCTCTTGGGGTTTTTTGGGGTTTTTCTTTGGTTTCTCATGGGGTTTTTTGGGCTTTTTAAGTTTTCCCTTGGGGTTTCTCATGGGATTTTTTAAGAATTTCTTTAATGTTTTTTTCTGGGTTTCTTGGGGGTTTTTTTAGGGTTTCTTCAGGGGTTTTTAAGGATTTTTTTGGATTTTCTCACTGGGTTTTTTTATGGTTTCTCTTGGGATTTTTTGGGGTTTATTTATGGTTTCTCACTGGGTTTTTTTTCATTTTTTTAGGGTTTCTCATGGGGTTTTTTGGCTTTTTTTGCTTTTCCAATCATCTCCAATGGGATTTTTTGGGGATTTTTTAATCTCCCATCCCTTTTTCACCCTTTCTCTCCCATTCCCCCTCCCCAGGTGCTCAAGGGCCCCTCCCAGCCCCATTCCAGGGCAGCCTCGCCTGGGCTCCATTCCTGGGGTTTCTCACGGAGATTTTTTGGGTTTTTTTGGGGATTTTTGGGGTTTTTTTGGGGTTTCTCATGGGGTTTTTTGGGGTTTTTTTATGGTTTCTCTTGGGTCTTTTTTTTGTTTTTTTATGGTTTCTCAATGGGTTTTTTTGGGATTTTTTATGGTTTCTCATGGGGTTTTGGGGGTTTTTTTATGGGTTTTTTTCGGGGTTTTTTTAGGGTTTCTCACGGGGATTTTTGGGGATTTTTTTGGGGGTTTCTCATGGGATTTTTTGGGGTTTTTTGACGTTTTTTTATGGGGTTTTTTGGGTTCTTTTAGGGTTTCTTTCAGAGGTTTCTTGGGGGTTTTTTTAATCCTTTTTTCTGGGTTTTTTTGGGGTTTTTTAGGGTTTCTCATGGGGTTTTTTGGGGTTTTTTTGGAGCTTTTTCTGGGGTTTTTGGGATTTTTTTTGGGGGGTTTCTCCTGGGTTTTTTTGGGGTTTTTCTATGGTTTCTCACGGGGTTTTTGCGGTTTTTTTTAGGGGTTTTTTAATGGTTTCTGTTGGGGTTTTTTTGCGGTTTTTTATGGTTCCCCTCAGGGTTTTTCAGGGCTTTTTTGGGGATTTTTCACTGAGTTTTTTGGGGTTTTTTTAGGGTTTCTCATGGGTTTTTTAGGGTTTTTTTTAGGGTTTCTCTCAGGGTTTTTTTGGGGTTTTTTTGGGGGGTTTTTCATTTGGTTTTTTGGGTTTTTGGGGGGTTTCTCATGGGGTTTTTGGGGTTTTTTTTTATCGTTTCTCTCAGGGGTTTTTTATGGTTTCTCACGGGGTTTTTTTGGGGATTTTTTTAATCTCTCCTTGAGTTTTTCACTCTTTCTCTGTTATTTCGCTCTTTTCCCCTCCCCAGGTTCTCAAGGACCCCTCCCAGCCCCACTCCAAGGGAGCCTCTCGGGGTCCATTTTTGGGGTTTCTCACGGGGATTTTTGGGGTTTTTTTAGGATTTCTCATGGGGATTTTTGGGGTTTTTTTACGTTTTTTGATGGGATTTTTTGGGTTCTTTTATGGTTTCTCTCAGGGGTTTTTTGGGGTTTTTTTAGGGGGTTTCCTATGGGGTTTTTGGGGTGTTTTTATGGTTTCTCTCAGGGTTTTTAGGTGGTTTTTTTGGGGTTTCTCCTGGGTTTTTTTGGGGTTTTTTTAGGGTTTTTCCCGGGATTTTTTTGGGTTTTTTATGATTTCTAAGGGGGTTTTTTTGGGGTTTATTTATGGTTTCTCACTGGGGTTTTTTGCATTTTTTATGGTTTCTCATGGGGTTTTTTGCTTTTCAAATCCCCTCCAATGGGATTTTTTGGGGATTTTTCCATCTCCTTTGAGTTTTTTAGGATTTCTTTGGGATTCCCCTCTCCCCAGGTGCTCAAGGGCCCCTCCCAGCCCCATTCCAGGGCAGCCTCGCCTGGGCTCCATTCCTGGGCTTTCTCATGGGGTTTTTGGGGTTTTTTTGGGGATTTTTGGGGTTTTTTTGGGGTTTCTCATGGGGTTTTTTGGGGTTTTTTTTATGGGTTTTTTTCGGGGTTTTTTTAGGGTTTCTCACTGAGATTTTTGGGGTTTTTTTGGGGTTTCTCATGGGGTTTTTTGGGGTTTTTTTTACATTTTTATGGGGTTTTTTGGGGTGTTTTTATGGCTTTTTCTGGGTTTTTTTGGGGTTTTTTTGGGGGGTTTCTCATGGGGTTTTTTAGGGGTTTTTCTATGGTTTCTCACGGGGTTTTTGCGGTTTTTTTTAGGGGTTTTTTAATGGTTTCTGTTGGGGTTTTTTGCGGTTTTTTATGGTTCCCCTCAGGGTTTTTCAGGGCTTTTTTGGGGATTTTTCACTGAGTTTTTTGGGGTTTTTTTAGGGTTTCTCATGGGTTTTTTAGGGGTTTTTTTAGGGTTTCTCTCAGGGTTTTTTTGGGGTTTTTTTGGGGGGTTTTTCATTTGGTTTTTTGGGTTTTTGGGGGGTTTCTCATGGGGTTTTTGGGTTTTTTTTTTATGGTTTCTCTCAGGGTTTTTTGGGATTTTTTTGGGGATTTCTCACTGGGTTTTTGGGGTTTTTTTTATCGTTTCTCTCGGGGGTTTTTTATGGTTTCTCATGGGGTTTTTTTTGGGGATTTTTTTAATCTCTCCTTGAGTTTTTCACCCTTTCTCTGTTATTTTCCCATTCCCCTCTCCCCAGGTGCTGAAGGACCCCTCCAAACCCCACTCCAAGGGCAATTTCTGGACCGTGGACGTTGCCCGGATCCCCCCGGCCGCGCTGAGGCTCCAGAACACGCCCGTGGCCCGCGGCTCCGCCTTCGCCCCCGACCTGGCCCCGTTCGTGCTCCGGGGCTGCCCCTACCCCCCCTGCCCGGGCCCCCCAACCTCCCCCTTCTCCATCGAGGCCTTGCTCAGGCACAGCCCCTCCAAAAACCCCGCGGGGAACCCCAAAAACCCCGCGGGGACCCCCAAAAACCCCGCGGGGACCCCCAAAAACCCCGCGGGGAACCCGCAAATCCCGGCCGGGACTCCCCAAACCCCGGCCGGGATCCCTCAAATCCCGGCCGGGATCCCTCAAATCCCGGCCGGGATCCCCCAAAACCCGGCCGGGATCCCTCAAATCCCGTCCGGGATTCCGCAAATCCCGGCCGGGACCCCGCAAATCCCGGCCGGGACCCCGCAAATCCCGGCCGGGACCCCTCAAATCCCGGCCCGGACCCCCCAAATCCCGGCCCGGACTCCCCAGCCCTGGGGGTCCCTGCCCTCCTCCCACAGCTCCGGGGGTGCCCCCAATGCCGTGGCCCCCGAAGGGAGCGGGGGGACCCCGAATTTTGGGGGGAATTGGGGGGTTCGGGTGGGGGTGGAGCCCCGAAATTTGGGGGGGGAAAGGGCGAACCCCGAGGGGGATCTCGGGGCCTGCCCGCCGCCCAATAAAAGCGTTTTTGATGTTTGGCTCAGCCACCCCGGGGATATCGCCATCAGGGGGTGATGACGTCATGGGGGAGCCCCCCTAAATTTTTGGGGGAAACCCCTAAATCTGTGACCAAAATTTGGGGGTGTCCCTGTCTGAAAATGGCAAAATTTGGGGGTGAAACGGCTCAAAATTGAGTCCAAACAGGACCAAAATTGCGGCCAAACCATTTAATTTTGGGGTGATGACGCCATAGAGGGCGCCCCTAAATTTTTGGGGTCACCCCTAAATCCGTGACCCAAAATTTTGGGGGTGTCCCTTCCCAAAATTGCAAAATCTGGGGCAAAAACGCCCCCAAAATGGAACCAAAACAGCCCCAAAATTGCGTCCAAACCATCGAATTTGGGGGTGATGACGTCATAGGGACACCCCAAAATTTTTGTGATGTCATCACCTGTGATGACGTCATACACCCCCAAATTTTGGTGAATTTTGGACCCCAATTTTGGGGTGTTTAGGCACAATTTTAGGGCATTTCAGCCCCAAATTTGGTCCAGATTGCCCCCAAAATTTGGGTGTGTGTGACATCATCAAGGGGTGATGACGTCATCGGGGCACCCCAAAACTTTGGGGGTCACCGCCTCAAAATATCCAAAATTTTGGGGTGAAACGCCCCAAAAAATGCTTCAAAATGCCCCAAATTTGTGCCAAAATCCCCCAAATTTCGGGTGATGACGTCATTGGGGCACCCCCAAAATTTGGGGGGCTCCCGCCCTGAAAACGTCGAAATTTGGGGGTGAAATGCCCCAAAATGGAGTCCAAATTTGGGGGTGTCGCCCCCAAAACCGCGCTCGGAACCCCCCAAATTTGGGGTGATGACGTCATAGGAGCACCCCAAAATTTTGCGGGGTCCCCCTCCCCCAAATTGAGTCGAAATCCCCCAAAATTTTGGGGCCAATCCCCCCCAAAATCGCCCGGAACGGCCCCAAAATCCGGGGCTGAAGGAGGCGCTGACGTCACCGGGGGTTCCCCGCCCCAAATATGGAAGCGGTGACGTCATCGGGGTTCCCCCGCTCCATATATGGGCATGGTGACGTCATCGGCGTGGCCCCGCCCCGCCCCGTGTTTCCCCTCCCCTCAATAAAGGATCGGCCAGTTTGGACCAGTTTGAACCAGTTTGGAACCAGTTTGGGCCAGTTTGGGCCCAGTTTGTTCCCAGTCCCTCCCAGTTCAATCCCAGTTTGGCCCCAGTCCATCCCAGCCACTCCCAGTCCCTCCCAGTTTGGTCCCAGTTTGATCCCAGTCAGTCCCAGTCCATCCCAGTTTATCCCAGTTTGGCCCCAGTCCCTCCCAGTTTGGACCAGTTTGTTCCCAGTCCCTCCCAATTTAATCCCAGTTTGTTCCCAGTCCCTCCCAGCTCATCCCAGTCCCTCCCAGTTTGGTTCCAGTTTGGTCCCAGTCAGTCCCAGTTTGTTCCCAGTCCCTCCCAGTTCAATCCCAGTTTGGCCCCAGCCCATCTCAGCCATTACCAGTCCCTCCCAGTTTGTCCCAGTTTGGTCCCAGTCCCTCCCAGTTTGGAACCAGTTTGGTCCCAGTCCCTCCCAGTTTAATCCCAGTTCATCCCAGTCCCTCCCAGTCCCTCCCAGTTTATCCCAGTTTAATCCCAGTTTGGCCCCAGTCCATCCCAGTCCATCCCAGTCCCTCCCAGTTTATCCCAGTTTGGCCCCAGTCTGTCCCAGTTTGGTCTCAGTCCATCCCAGTTTGTCCCACTTGCTCCCAGTTTGCTCCCAGTTCTTCCCAGTCCATCCCAGTTTGGCCCCAGTTTGGTCCCAGTTTCATCCCAGTCCATCCCAGTTTGTCCCAGTCTGTCCCAGTTCATCCCAGTCTGTCCCAGTTTGTCCCAGTTTGATCCCATTTTGCCCCCAGTTTGGAACCAGTGTCTCCCAGTTTGGTCCCAGGTGCTCCCAGTCCCTCCCAGTTTGGCCCCAGTTTCGTCCCAGTTTGCTCCCAGTCCCTCCCAGTCCCTCCCAGTTCAATCCCAGTTTGCTCCCAGTCCCTCCCAGTCCATCCCACTCTGACCCAGTTTGTTCCCAGTCCCTCCCAGTCACTCCCAGTCCCTCCCAGTTTAATCCCAGTTTGTCCCAGTCCCTCCCAGTCCCTCCCAGCTTGATCCCATTTTGCCCCCAGTTTGGACCAGTTTGGAACCAGTCCCTCCCAGTTTGGTCCCAGGTGCTCCCAGTCCCTCCCAGTTTGGCCCCAATTTCGTCCCAGTTTGCTCCCAGTCCCTCCCAGTCCATCCCACTCTGACCCAGTTTGTTCCCAGTCCCTCCCAGTCCCTCCCAGTTCAATCCCAGTTTGGCCCCAGTCCATCCCAGCCACTCCCAGTCCCTCCCAGTTTGTTCCCAGTCCCTCCCAGTCATTCCCAGTCCCTCCCAGTTTGGCCCCAGTTTGGCCCCAGTTTGTCCCAGTCCATCCCAGTCCCTCCCAGTTTGATCCCATTTTGCCCCCAGTTTGGACCAGTTTGGAACCAGTCCCTCCCAGTTTGGTCCCAGTTTGATCCCAGTCCCTCCCAGTTTGGCCCCAATTTCATCCCAGTTTGCTCCCAGTCCCTCCCAGTTTATCCCACTCTGACCCAGTTTGTTCCCAGTCCTTCCCAGTCCCTCCCAGTTCAATCCCAGTTTGGCCCCAGTCCATCCCAGCCACTCCCAGTCCCTCCCAGTTTGTTCCCAGTCCCTCCCAGTTCAATCCCAGTTTGGCCCCAGTCCATCCCAGCCACTCCCAGTCCCTCCCAGTTTGCGTCAGTCTGTCCCAGTTTATCCCATTTTGCTCCCACTCCCTCCCAGTTTATCCCAGTCTCTCCCAGTTTGTCCCAGTTTGATCCCAGTTGCTCCCAGTCCATCCCAGTTTGCTCCCAGTCTGTCCCAGTTTAGTCCCAGTTTGGCCCCAGTCCATCCCAGTCCCTCCCAGTTTGCGTCAGTTTGGTCCCAGTTTGGCCCCAGTCTGTCCCAGTTTGGTTCTAGTCCCTTCCAGTTTGGACCAGTTTGGTCTCAGTCCCTCCCAGTCCCTCCCAGTTTGGCCCCAGTTTGCTCCCAGTCCCTCCCAGTCCATCCCACTCTGACCCAGTTTGTTCCCAGTCCCTCCCAGTCACTCCCAGTTTAATCCCAGTTTAATCCCAGTTTGGCCCCAGTCCATCCCAGCCACTCCCAGTCCCTCCCAGTTTGCGTCAGTCTGTCCCAGTTTGGACCAGTTTGGCCCCAGTCACTCCCAGTTTGCTCCCAGTTCATTGATTGGGATTTGGGGTTTGGGGTTTGGGGTTTGGGGGAATTCAGGGATTTGGAAATTGGGATTTGGGGGAATTCAGGAATTTGGGGGTTGGGGTTTGGGATTTGAGGGAATTCAGAGATTTGGGATTTGGGGTTGGGATTTGGGGGAATTCAGAGATTTGGGATTTGGAGTTTGAGGTTTTGAAGTTTGAGGGAATTCAGGGGTTTGGGATTTGGGATTTGGGGTTTGAAGGAATTCAGGGATTTGGGGTTTGGGATTCAAGGGATTTCAGGCAATTTGAGGTTTGGGATTTGGTGTTTGGGGTTTGGAATTTGAGATTTGGGGTTTGAGGCTTGGGATTTGGGGGAATTCAGGGATTTGGGGTTTGAGGTTTGGGATTTGGGGTTTGGGATTTGGGGTTTGGGATTTGGGATTTGGGATTTGAAGGAATTCAGGGATTTGGGATTTGGGGTGTGAGGGAATTCAGGGATCGAGGAGTTGGGGTTTGGGATTTGGGATTTGGTGGTTGAGGGAATTCAGGGGGTTGGGATTTGGGATTTGGGGTTTGAGGGAATTCAGGGATTTGGGATTTGGGATTTGGAGTTTGGGGTTTGGGATTTGGGATTTGAGGGAATTCAGGGGTTTGGGATTTGGGATGTGAGGGAATTCAGGGATCGGGGATTTGGGGTTTGGGGTTTGGGATTTGGGTTTGGGGCTTGGGATTTGGGGTTTGGGATTTGAAGGAATTCTGGGGTTTGGGATTTGGGGTTTGGGATTTGGGGTTTGGGATTTGGGATTTGAGGGAATTCAGTGGTTTGGGATTTCGGGTTTGGGGTTTGGGTTTGGGATTTGAGGGAATTCAGGGATTTGGGGTTTGGGATTTGGGATTTGAGGGAATTCGGGGATTTGGGGTTTGGGATTTGGGATTTGAGGGAATTCAGGGATTTGGGGTTTGGGATTTGGGGGATTTCAGGCATTTGGGATTTGGGGTTTGGGATTTGGAGTTTGGGATTTGAGGGAATTCAGGGATTTCATATTTGGTATTGGGGGAAATCAGGGATTTGGGAGATTTGGGATTTGGGGTATCCAGGGGTTTGGGATTTGAGGGGTTCAGAGTTTGAGATTTTGGGGTTTGGGATTTGGGGGCTGGAATTTGGGGGGAATTCAGGGTTTGGTTGGTTGGGGTTGGAGGATTCAGGGATTTGGGATCTGGATTTGGGGTTTGGGAGAATTGAGGGATTTGGGGCTGGGATTTGGGATTTGGGGGAATTCAGGGATTTTGGGAGGTTGAGGGATTTGGGATTGGGGAGTTCAAGGGTTGGGATTTTGGAGCTTTAAGGGATTGGGATTTGGGGGTTTCAGGGATTGGGATTTTGAGGTTCCCATTCTTGGGGGGAGCTGCAGGGATTTGGGAGTGGGAATTGAGGCTCAGGTGTCTCCCATTCATACCCTAAAGGAATTTTCCCCTCTTGAGAGCCTTCAAATGCCTTGGGGAGGACACAACCACACCGGAGTGGAGACCCCAAATCCCTCAGGGTGGACCCCAAACTTTGCGACCCCAAAAAACCCCAAAAAAACCCCAAAATTTTGCGTTGTCATTCCCGCTCCGCCCGCCGGGGGGCGCAGCTTCTCGCCCCGTCCGCCATCTTGAGTGTGGCGCGGCACTTCCGGGTTGGCCGTCACTCACTTCCGGGTTTGCCATCACTCACTTCCGGCGTCACCGGAAGTGGCGAGGTCGCCATGGCGACGGCCCCGCCTGTGGCAGCGGCGGGCGCGGCCCGAGGGCGCGGCGGGGACAGCGAGGGGACAACGAGGGGACAACGCGGGGGACAGCGCCGGTAACGGGAGCGGCGACACCGCGGGGACAGCGCGGGGGGAGCTGGGGGTGAGGGGGAGCCGGTGGAAGGGGGGGGAGCGGGAAGGGGCCGGACAAAATGGCGGCGACGTGAGGGGCGGCCTGAGGGGGGCGCGGGGACATGGCGGGAACTGGGAGGGGACCGTGAGGGGACTTTGGGGACACAGGGGGGTTTGGAGACACAGAGGGGACTTTGGGGACATGGAGGAGACCGTGAGGGGACTTTTGGGACATGGCGGGGACTTTGGAAACTTTGGGGACATGGCGGGGACCGTGAGGGGACTTTGGGGACCGTGAGGGGACTTTGGGGACCGTGAGGGGACTTCGGGGACATTGGGGACATGGCGGGGACCGTGAGGGGACTTTGGAGACCGTGAGGCGACTTTGGAAACTTTGGGGACTTTGGGGACCGTGAGGGGACTTTGGGGACTTTGGGGACACAAGGGGGGTTTGGGGACACAGAGGGGACTTTGGGGACCGTGAGGGGACCGTGAGGGGACTTTGGGACCGTGAGGGGACTTTGGGGACAGAGTTGGGGACAGGTTCCAGGTTTGGGGTGGGTTGGGGACAAGGGGGTGGGAGGGGGTTGGGGACATTCGGGGTGGCCCTGGGGACACTGAGGGTCCCCTTGGGGATTTTGGGGCTGTTTTGGGCAGTTTTGGGCAATTTTGGGGCTGTTTTGAGCAAATTTGGGGCTTTTTCCTGGAATTTTGGGGCATTTCCAAAGAATTTCAGAATTTCCAACAAAAACTGGATTTGGTTTGGTTTGGTTTTCCAAAAATTTCCACTTTTTTTGGGCTTTTTTGGGAATTCTGGGTGGATTTGAGGCCAATCCCAACTTAGGAAAACCAAAACCAAAACAATTTAAAAATTCCAAATTTTTTTAGGAATTCTGGGTGGAATTGAGGCCAATCCCAACTTAGGAAAACCAAAACCAAAAAATTCCAAAAAATTCCAAAAAATTCCAAAAAATTCCAAAAATTCCAATTTTTTTTAGGAATTCTGGGTGGATTTGAGGCCAATCCCAACTTAGGAAAACCAAAAAATTCCAAAAATTCCAAATTTTTTTAGGAATTCTGGTTGGATTTGAGGCCAATCCCATTTTAGGAAAACCAAAACCAAAAAATTCCAAAAAATTCCAAAAAATTCCAAAAAATTCCAAATTTTTTTAGGAATTTTTTGTGGATTTGGGACCAATCCCAATTTAGGAAAACCAAAACCAAAAAATTCCAATAATTCCAAAAAATTCCCAAAAATTCCCAAAAATTCCCAAAAAATTCCAAAAAATTCCAAATTTTTTTGGGAATTCTGGGTGGATTTGAGGTCAAACAAAACCAAAAAATTCCAAAAATTCCAAATTTTTTTAGGAATTCTGGGTGGATTTGAGGCGAATCCCGACTTAGGAAAACCAAACAAAAAAAAATTTAAAAATTCCAATTTTTTTTAGGAATTCTGGGTGGATTTGAGGCCAATCCAAACTTAAGAAAACCAAAACCACAAAATTGAAAAATTCCAAATTTTTTTAGGAATTCTGGGTGGATTTGAGGCCAATCCCAATTTAGGAAAACCAAACCAAAAAATTCCAAAAAATTCCAAAAAATTCCAAAAAATTCCAAAAAATTCCAAAAAATTCCAAATTTTTTTAGGAATTTTTTGTGGATTCGGGACCAATCCCAATTTAGGAAAACCAAAACCAAAAAATTCCAATAATTCCAAAAAATTCCAAAAAATTCTAAAAAATTCCAAAAAATTCCAATTTTTTTTAGGAATTTTGGGTGGATTTGAGGCCAATCCCAATTTAAGAGAACCAAAACCAAAAAATTCCAAAAAATTCCAAAAAATTCAAAAAATTCCAAAAAATTCCAAAAAATTCCAAATTTTTTTAGGAATTTTGGTTGGATTTGAGGCCAATCCCAATTTAGGAAAACCAAAACCAAAAAATTCCAATAATTCCAAAAAATTCCAAAAAATTCTAAAAAATTCCAAAAAATTCCAATTTTTTTTAGGAATTTTGGGTGGATTTGAGGCCAATCCCAATTTAAGAGAACCAAAACCAAAAAATTCCAAAAAATTCCAAAAAATTCAAAAAATTCCAAAAAATTCCAAAAAATTCCAAATTTTTTTAGGAATTTTGGTTGGATTTGAGGCCAATCCCAATTTAGGAAAACCAAAACCAAAAAATTCCAAAAAACTCCAAAAAATTCCAAAAAATTCCAAATTTTTTTAGGAATTTTGGTTTGATTTGAGGCCAATCCCAACTTAGGAAAACCAAAACCAAAAAATTCCAAAAAATTCCAAAAAATTCCAAAAAATTCCAAAAAATTCCAAATTTTTTCAGGAATTTTTTTGTGGATTTGAGGCCAATCCCAATTTAGGAAAACCAAATCAATAAATTCCAAAAAATTCCAAAAAATTCCAAATTTTTTTAGGAATTCTGGGTGGATTTGGGACCAATCCCAACTTAGGAAAACCAAAACCAAAAAATTCCAAAAAATTCCAAAAAATTCCAAAAAATTCCAAAAAATTCCAAATTTTTTTAGGAATTTTTGTTTGATTTGAGGTCAATCCCAATTTAGGAAAACCAAAAAAATTCCAAAAAATTCCAAAAAATTCCAAAAAATTCCAAATTTTTTTAGGAATTCTGGGTGGATTTGAGGCCAATCCCAATTTAGGAAAACCAAAACCAAAAAAATTCCAAAAAATTCCAAAAAATTCCAAATTTTTTTTTTAGGAATTCTGGGTGGATTTGAGGCCAATCCCAACTTAGGAAAAACAAAACCAAAAAATTCCAAAAAATTCCAAAAAATTCCAAAAAATTCCAAATTTTTTTAGGAATTCTGGGTGGATTTGAGGCCAATCCCAGTTTAGGAAAACCAAAACCAAAAAAATTCAAAAATTCCAATTTTTTTTAGGAATTCTGGTGGGATTTGAGGCCAATCCCAATTTAGGAAAACCAAAACCAAAAAATTCAAAAATTCCAAATTTTTTTAGGAATTCTGGGTGGATTAGAGGCCAATCATTCCCAAAAATTCCAAAAAATTCCAAATTTTTTTAGGAATTTTTTGTGGATTTGGGACCAATCCCAATTTAGGAAAACCAAAACCAAAAAATTCAAAAATTCCAAATTTTTTTAGGAATTCTGGGTGGATTTGAGGCCAATCCCAATTTAGGAAAACCAAAACCAAAAAAATTCCAAAAAATTCCAAAAAATTCCAAAAAATTCCAAAAAATTCCAAATTTTTTTAGGAATTCTGGGTGGATTTGAGGCCAATCCCAATTTAGGAAAACCAAAAAAAGTCAAAAATTCCAAATTTTTTTAGGAATTTTGGTTGGATTTGAGGCCAATCCCAACTTAGGAAAACCAAAACCAAAAAATTCCAAAAAAATTCCAAAAAATCCCAAAAAAATCCAAAAAATTCCAAAAATTCCCAATTTTTTAGGAATTTTGGTTGGATTTGAGGCCAATCCCAATTTAGGAAAACCAAACCCAAAAAATTCCAAAAAATTCCAAAAAATTCCAAAAAATTCCCAAAAATTCCAAATTTTTTTAGGAATTCTGGGTGGATTCGAGGCCAATCCCAATTTAGGAAAACCAAAATCAAAAAATTCCAAAAAATTCCAAAAAATTCCAAAAAATTCCAAATTTTTTTAGGAATTCTGGGTGGATTTGAGGCCAATCCCAATTTAGGAAAACCAAACCCAAAAAATTCCAAAAAATTCCAAATTTTTTTAGGAATTCCGTTTGGATTTGAGGCCAATCCCAACTTAGAAAAACCAAAAAATTCCCAAAAATTCCAAATTTTTTTAGGAATTCTGGGTGGATTTGAGGCCAATCCCAACTTAGGAAAACCAAAACCAAAAAATTCCAAAAAATTCCCAAAAAATTCCAAAAAATTCCAAATTTTTTTAGGAATTCTGGTTGGATTTGGGGTCAATCCCAATTTAGGAAAACCAAAAAATTCCAAAAAATTCCAAAAAATTCCAAATTTTTTTTTTGGGAATTCTGGGTGGATTTGAGGCCAATCCCAATTTAGGAAAACCAAAACAAAAAAATTCCAAAAAATTCCCCAAAATTCCCCAAAATTCCCCAAAATTCCAAAAAATTCCAAAGAATTCCAAAGAATTCCAAAAAATTCCAAAAAATTCCAAATTTTTTTAGGAATTCTGGGTGGATTTGAGGCCAATCCCAACTTAGGAAAACCAAACCAAAAAATTCCAAAAAATTCCAAAAAATTCCAAATTTTTTTAGGAATTTTTTGTGGATTTGGGACCAATCCCAATTTAGGAAAACCAAAAAATTCCAAAAAAATTCCAAAAAATTCCCAAAAAATTCCAAAAAATTCCAAAAAATTCCAAAAAAATTCCAAAAAATTCCAAATTTTTTTAGGAATTTTGGGTGGATTTGAGGCCAATCCCAACTTAGGAAAACCAAAACCAAAAAAATTCAAAAATTCCAAAAAATTCCAAAAAATTCCAAATTTTTTTAGGAATTCTGGGTGGATTTGAGGCCAATCCCAGCTTAGGAAAACCAAAACCAAAAAATTCCAAAAAATTCCAAAAAATTCCAAAAAATTCCAAAAAATTCCAAATTTTTTTAGGAATTCTGGGTGGATTTGAGGCCAATCCCAATTTAGGAAAACCAAAACCAAAAAAATTCCAAAAAATTCCAAAAAATTCCAAAAAATTCTAAAAAAATTCCAAATTTTTTTAGGAATTCTGGGTGGATTTGAGGCCAATCCCAGCTTAGGAAAACCAAAACCAAAAAATTCCAGGTTTTTTTTAGGAATTCTCTCTAGATTTGAGTTCAATCCCAACCTAGACAAACCAAACCCAAACAATTCCAATTTTTTTTTGGAATTCTGTTTGGATTCCAGGCCAATCCCGGCTTAGGAAAACCAAAACCAAACCAAAAAATTCCAATTTTTATTTGGAATTCTGTTTGGATTTGAGGTCAATCCCAGCTTAGGAAAACCAAAAAATTCCAGGT